TTTTTCAAGAAAAGCACATCTTATTTTTGAGGAAGCTCTGTACAGTAATTATTACCGTTGTTTTGCTGTTTGAATTCAGCTAACGATTCTGTTTCACAGACAATCATCAAATTTCACTTCAACATTCAAATTTTCCCTCGTCTGTCTGTGTTTTTTTGATTCGGCCCCATTAACTGTAATACAGAATATAATTGATACTGAAAATTAACTGTTTTATCTGTTGATATATTTGCTAAACCCATATTAGCACATCTCCAATTAGCAATTTTTAACATCATTGCAAAAAGTTTTACCTGCACTAAACTATTAACTAATTTTGTTTTTTTTTTTCTTGTACTGATTTGGAAGGTAATAATAATTTAAGCAGAAAATGTAAGGAAAAAAAAAAATTAGATACGAGTATTTTTGGGTTACTTTTCTCCAGAAAAAAAAAAACAAAAGGTTCACGTTTTACATTGAAATTAGAACAATAATTGTTTAGACTTATTTATTTATTTCAATCTTTCTTAGTCTATCCACCTGACAAAACCTTTTTTGGATTATCGTATTTTAATATATTTTTTTTTTGCTATTTGCGATTTTTTCAGTCTTATCGATCTCATAAAGCACCAAAAAAATTTTTTAAAATTTTACTTTTAGTGAAAAAACAAGAATTTTTTTTTCTATTTATACTCAGCTAAAACTATCTAATAAAAACTTAGTCTCTGCATTTTATTTATCAATTTTCAATGATAAACATTAAGGTCAAAAAACAAACATAGAAAAGTGTTTTTTTCCCCTCTTTGTTCAGATACTTCTGACGTTGCAAGAAAAAATATTGACCATTTTTTAGTTGTTTTGATTTTTTATACTCTAAAAACTATCTCATTATATTTCTGAGTAATTTTTTTTGTCTTTCAAAATGTGCACTAATTTTTTCCTAGTTTTTTTTTTAGTTTTTTGCACACAGTGCATTTGTCATTTTATATCTGCTTTACAGTATTTATTCAATAGCATAGAATAAAAGCGAAGAAGATTTGTAGCAATATTTATAGCAGCATAATTTTATATGCAAATAATTATAGAAATTAATAAAAAAATTAAGGCATTGTACAATTTATTGGCGGTGATACTTTGGCTAATAAAAAAAGAAAATAAAAGAGAAAAAGTTTTGCTTTTTTTTTTTTTTTTTTT